CTTGAAGGACTTTTATGGTTTCAGGTCTCATATTTAATTCTTTAAGTTTTGAGGGATTTTTTTGTGTGTGGTGAACGATAATGGTCCAGTTTCAGTTTTTGCATGTTGCTGTCCAGTTTTCCCCACACTATTTGTTGAAGAGATTATGTTTTCCCCCATTTTCCCCATTGTATATTCTTTCCTGCTTTGTTGAAGATTAATTGACCATATATTTGTGGGTTTGTTTCTGGGTTTTCTGTTCTGTTCCACTGATCTATGTGTCTATTTTTGTGCCAGTACCATACTGTTTTGATTACTACAGCTTTGTAATGCAACTTGAAGTCTGGAATTGTGATGCCTCCAGCTTGGCGTTTCTTTCTCAAGATTGCTTTGGCTATTAAAGTGTCTTTTATGGTTCCATGCATATTTTAGGATTCTTTGTTCTAGTTCTGTGAAAAATGCTGTTGGCATTTTGATAGAGATTGCATTAAATGTGTAGATTGCTTTCGGTAGTATAGACATTTTAACAATATTTATTCTTGCAATCCATGAGCATGGACTCTCTTTCCATTTCTTTGTGACACCTTCACTTTCTTTCATCAGTGTTTTAGAGTTTTCAGAGTACAAATCTTTAATCTCTTTGGTTACGTTTATTCTCAGATATCTTACTGTTTTGGGAGCAATTGTAAATGAAATTGATTCCTTAATTTATCTTTCCGCAGCTTCATTTTTGGTGCACAGAAATGCAACAGATTTCTGTACGTTCATTTGGTATCTGCAACTTTACTGAATTTATTTATCAGTTTAGCATTATTTTAGTGGAGTCTTTGGGTTTTTGACAAATAGTATGTCATCTGCAAATAGTGCAAGTTTTATTCCTTCCTTGCTAATTTGGATGTATTTTTTTTTTTCTTTTGGTTGTCAGATTGCCGTGGTTAGGACTTCCAGTACTACGTTGATTAAAAGTGGTGAGAATACACATCCTTGTGTGGTTTCTCGCTGTGCAGGAAAAGTTCCTGGTTTTCCCGCATTTAGGATACTATTCACTCTGGGTTTTTTATATACTGACGTTATTATGTTGAGGTATGTTCTCTCCAAACCTCAAAAACTTTGTTGAAGGTTTTTGTCATGAGTGGATGTTGTATTTTATCAAATGCTTTCTCTTCATCTATTGAAATAATCTTATGATTCTTATCTTTTCTTTTATTAATGTGGTGTATCATGTTGATTGATTTGTCAATATTGAACTACCCTTGCAACCCAGGAATAAATCCTGCTTGTTCTCGGTAAATGATTCTCTTAATGTATTGTTGGATTCAGTTTGCTACTATTTTGTTGATTTTTACATTTATATTCATCAGCTATATTGGCCTGCAGTTCTCTCTCTCTCTCTCCCTCTCTCTCTTTTGTTTGTTTGTTTGTTTGTGTTGTCTTTATCTGGATTTGGTATCAGAATAATGCTGGCCCCATAGAATAAATTTTGAATTTTCTTTCCTTTTTTATTTTTTGGAATCATTAGGGAAGGATGGATATTAACTCTTGCTTACATGTTTGGTAGAATTTGCCTGTGAAACCATCCAGTCCTGGACTTTTGTTTTTGGGGAGATTTTTGATTATTGATTCAATTTCTTTTCTGGTTGTCAGTCTGTTTAAATTTTCTATTCCTGTTTCCGTTTTGGTAGATTATTTCTAGGAATTTGTCATTTCTTCTAGGTTGTCCAATTTGTTGGCATATAGCTTTTCATAATGTTGCCTTATAATTGTTTGTATTTCTGTGGTGTAGGTTGTTATCTCTTTTCTCTTATTTGCAATTTTATTTATTTGTGTCTTTTTCCTTTTTGATAAGTCTGGCTAGAGGTTCATCAATTTTATGCATTTTTTCAAAGAACCAGTTCATGGTTTCATTGATCTGTTTTATTGGATTTTTTTTTTTAGATTCAATATCATGTATTTCTGCTCCAACATTTATTATATCCTACCTTCTACTGGCTTTAGACTTCTTTTGTTGTTCTTTTCTAGCACCTTTATATGTAAGGTTAGGTTGTTTATTTGAGATTTTTCTTGCTTCTTGAGATAAGCCTGTATTGCTATGTAATTTCTTCTTACAACTGCTTTTGCTGCATCCCAAAGATTTTGGACCATTGTGGTTTCATTTTCATTTGTTTCCATGCTTTTTAAAAATTTCTTCTTTGGTTTTCTGGTTGACCCATTCATTGTCTAGTAGCTGTTTAACCTCCATGTATTTGTGCACTTTCCAGGTTTTTCCTTGTGATTGGCTTCTAGTTGTGTAGCATTGTGGTCAGAAAACTTGCATGGTATGATTTTGATCTTCTTAAATTTGTTGAGGCCTGTTTTGAGTCCTAATATGTTATCTATTCTGGAGAATGTCCCATGTGCACTTGAAATGAATGTGTATTTTGCTATTTTAGGATGGAACATTCTGTTAAGTTCATTTGGACCAGGGTATCATTCAAAGCCATTGTTTTTTTGTTGATTTTCTGTTTAGATAATCTGTCCATTGTTATAAGTGGATGTTAAAATCTCCTACTATTATTGTATTATTACCAAGTAGTTTCTTTATGTTTGTTTTATGTATTTGGGTGTTTCCATGTTAGGTGCATAAATATTTATGGTTACATCTTTTTGTTAGATTATTCTCTTTATTATTATATAGTGCCCTTCTTTGCATCTGATTATAGTCTGTTTTAAAGTCCAATATAAGTATTGTCTAATCTAAGTGTTGCTACTTCAGCTTTCATTTAATATCCATTTGCATGTTTCTTAATCCCCTCACTTTCAATCTGCAGGTGTCTTTAGGTCTGACATAAGTCTCTTGGATCACATGAGAGGCTCAGATGGTTAAGTGTCCCACTTCAGCTCAGGTCATGATCTCACAGTTTGTGGGTTCAAGCCCCACATCAGGCTCTGTGCTGACAGCTCAGAGCCTGGAGCCTGCTTCAGAGTCTATGTATCCCTCTCTCTTTCTGCCCCTCCCCCACTCATGCTCTGTCTCTCTCAAAAATAAATAAACATTAAAAAAATAAGTCTCTTGTAGGCAGCATAAATCTTTTATTTAACCCATTCTGACACCCTATATCTTTTGGCTGGAGTATTTAGCCATTTACATTCAAGTAATTATTGACAAATATGTATTTATTGCCATTTTCTCACTTGTTTTGTGGTTGTTTCTAGAGATTTTCTCTGATCCTTTCTTGTTTTTCTGTCCTTCATAATTTTCTGGTTTTCATTAGTGATCTATTTGGACTTCATTTTCTTTCTTGTTTGTATATTTATTAGTAGTTTTTGATACATGCTTACCATTAGCTTTGTAGATAACCTCTTCTGCATAGAGTAGTCTATAGTAAGTTGATAGTTGTTTAAGTTTGAACTCATTCTTTACTTCTCCCCATACTTTAGCTATGTGTTGTTATATTCTATATCCTTTTTGTGAGTTCTTTGATTTTTTTTCCAGAAATATTCGTTTTTACTGATTTTGCATTTTCTCCCTTTATACTATCACTTTTGGTCTCTCCTTTGCACTCTAAGAATCCCCTTTAATATTTCTTGCTGGGCTGGTGTAGTCATCACAATTCCTTTAATTTTTGTTTGTTTGGGAAACTCTGTACTTTCTATCCTGAATGATAGCCTTGCTAGATAGTGTATTCTTGACTGCATATTTTTCCCATTCAGCAAGTTGAATATACCATGCCACTGTCTTCTGGCTTGCAGACTTTCTATTGAAAAATATCCTGCTAGCCTTATGAATTTCCCTTGTAAGTTACTGACCTCTTTTGTCTTACTGCTTTTAAGATATTTTTTCTTTAGCACTATATTTTGCAAATTTAATCACAATATGTCTTGGTGTATGTCTGCTTTTGTTGATTTTGATGGGAGTTCTCTGTACCTTCTGGATCTGGATGTCTGTTTCATTCCCTAGATTGGAAAGTTTTCAGCTATTAGCTCTTCAAATAAATTTTCTGTCCCCTTTTTTCTCTGTTTTTCTTCTGAGACTCCTATACTATGAATGTTATGTTGGATGGAATCAGTGAGTTCCCTAAATCTTTTATTTTGCATAATTCTTCTTTCTCTTTTCTTCAGCCTCATCATTTTCCATTACTTTGTGTCCTAGGTAGTAAATTGTTCCTCTGCTTCTCCCAGCCAGCTATTCCTTTCATCAAGAGTGTTTCTAATTTCATTCATTGTACTCTTCATCTTTGATTATTTTTAACTCTTTTATCTCTGTGGTAAGGGTCTCACTGAGGTCTTCCATTCTTTTTTCAAGTCCAGTGAGTGTGCAGGTGTTTGTGCTAGTCTTCTAGGGGAGGGGCCCACTACACTGGTCCTGAGCTTGTCTTCTAGCAGAGGGTCCCATTACAGTGGTACTGAGCTGGTCTTATAGGGGAGGGTCCCACTACACTGGTACTGAGCTGGTCTTCTGGGGGAGGGGCCCACTGCACTGGTCCTGAGGTAAGCATGACTGAGAAGGGCAGTTCCACAAGCTCAAGGGGGCTTCGTGTAAGCAAGTTAGGCAGTGTCAGGGCTCTGCTGCCTCCTGCAGGTGGCTGTGTGTTTATGCTCAGGGGCAGGGGAAGGAAATGCTTTGGCCGCTCCTTTGTTCCCAGAGAGGTATTTCTTTGAAGCCTGCCTCTCAGGGACACACTCTGAGAAGAGCAAATAATCTCCAAGCTGTGTCCCCAGGGGCTCTTCGGATTGCTGTTTCACCATCTGTGCTGCTGGGCTGTTTTCCCGTCTTCTCCCCCGGAGCAGTGCAGTGCCCTCCAGCCTCTACCCTAGCCAACCAAGCCCACTGACCTTTCAAATTCCGGGCTTTGAGCCCTGCTAGTTGCAAGAACTCACAAAATTCAGCCCCTTTGAAGCCAGAGGCTAGGAGGAAACATTCTCGTTGTTGTGCACTCTCTTGTGTGCTCCTCTCTGTCACCTTTCTCCATGACTATGGCTCCCTCCCTTTCACAGCAGCCAAGATCCCTTTCTCCCCCAAACCATGCGTCTGTGTTTCCTACCTTCTTCGATGCAGTGTCTTCTCTCCTTTGAACCATGGAATTTGTTCTGCAAGTCTTCAGCTCCATTTCTGGGGTATTTAGAATTATCTGACAATTATCTAGTTGAATTTGTGGGACGAGGCAAGCGTAGGGTCCTCCCGCTCTGCCACCATCTTCCTGTGTCCTGAAAGGCCATGTCTTAAGAAGATAAGTGACAAGTGATAGACTGGACAACATATTTGCAAACAGCATATCTGACAGAACACTAGTATCTAGAATATGCAAAATGTCTCAAAACTCAACAGTAAAAATAACAACAACATCCAATATGAAAATAGGCAGCAGACATGAATATGCATTTTACCAAACAGGATATACGGAAAGCAAATGAGCAAATGAGAAGGTGCACAGTTTCATTACCCATCTTCGAAATGCAAGTTAAAATCACAATGGATAGCCTAGAAAACTTCTACGTTAGTGACAACACCAAATGCTGATGAGGAGGAAGTGAAACTGGATCCCATGTACATCACAGGTACAGGGCTAAAATGGCACAGCAACTCCGGAAGACAGCATGGCTGTTTCTGTAACACTAAACATACACTTACCATATAAGCCACAAATTGCACTCTTTGGCATATGTCATAGCAACCTTATTTGTAATAGCCCCAAACTGGAAACAACCCAGTGGCCTTCAAAAAAATTGGTAAGTAGTTAAACTGTGCTGTATCCATACCATAGAAGAGTCCATATTCAATGATAACAAAGAAGGCACTATTAATACAACCTAGATAAATACAATACAACTATTGGTTACAACCTAGATGAATCTCTTAGAATTATGCTGAGTTAAAAATGCCAATTTCCAAAGGTTATACACTGTATTATTCTTTATATTAAATTAGCTGTAACGTCAAAATTAAGAAAGAGTGAACAGATTAGTGGTTGTCAGTGGTTAAGCATGAGTTGGTAGAAGTAGGAGAGATGTGAGTTGTGGTATAAAAGAGCAACATGAGGGATCCGTTTTTAAGAAAACATGTTTCTTTTATTTTGAGAGAGACACAGTGAGTGTGAGCATGTGTGAGTGGGGGAGGGACAGAGGGAGAGCCAGAAAGAGAATCTCAAGCAGGCTTCTGCACTGCCAGGGCAGAGCCGAACATGGTTCTCAAACTCACAAACCATGAGATCCCGACCCAAGCCGAAACTGAGAGTCACATGCTTAACCAACCTGGCTTACCACCCAGGCACCCCAGGAGGGAACCTTTTGGTTTTGGAACTGGTCCATACTTGACCAGGTTTATACACAAAACTACAAATGTAATAAAATGGCATAGAACTACACACACACACACACACACACACACACACACACACACAGAGGAGAATAACTAAAACAGGGTATCTGAAGACTAGTGGATTGTACCAATGTCAGTGTATCAATGGTTGTAATATTTTACTCCATTTTTTCAAGTTATTATCCTTAGGGGAAACTGAGTAAATGTACATAATCTCTATTATTTCTGACAACTGTGTTCAACTCCACAATAACCACAAAATTGAAAATGTAATTGAAAGATCATTACTCAAAAGTATAAGAATGATATTTCATATCTAATTAGGAAAAAAAGGAGCAATAGTTTTAACATTCTGAATGAAAATAATCCTGAATCTAGAATTTACTCTTGGAATTCTCACTGAAATGGGAGCACAAATTGACATTCTCAAATAAAAAAGGTTAAGAAACCTTATCATTCATTAGCCTATTCTGGGGGTAAAAAAAAAGAACAATGACAAATTACAGATCTTTAAAATGAGAATGGACTCCAAGAATGGAATTCAAGATTGGATCTCACAGTATGGGAGTTCGAGCCCCACCCTGGGCTCTGCACTAACAACATGGAGCCTGCTTAGGATTCTCCCTCTCCCTCTCTCTCTGCCCTTCCCCTGCTTGTGCTCTCTCTCTCTCTCTCTCTCTTCTCTATCTCAAAATAAATAAATAAATAAACTGAAAAACAAAGAACAGAAAATTCTAACAATTGAGCAGAAATCTGAAATGAAAAATACTAAACTGCAACAAATAGAGAATATCAAATAAATATTAATAAGACCAAAGATTATCACTAATCTAATGAATGTGAAAATATCAAATTATCATATGAAATAACAGATTACTAAACAGAGTTAAAATATTTAGTTGAGGGGCGCCTGGCTGGCTCAGTCCATTAAGCATCTGACTTCGGCTCAGGTCATGATCTCATGGTTCGTGGGTTTGAGCCCCGCGTCAGGCTCTGTGCTGACAGCCTGGAGCCTGTTTCAGATTCTGTGTCTCCCGCTCTGTCTCTCTCTCTCTCTCAAAAATAAATTTTAAAAAATCATTTAAAGAATAGTCACTTGCATCCATGATTTGATCCATCAAATCAGAAGGTTGAGAATAATGGAATCAAAACAGAAAAATTAAACGAAGCTAATAGAAAAATAAACAATTACTAAAGAAGAAATAAGAATGGTAGGTAAGCATAATAAGCGATATTAACCTCACCTGCTTTATTAAATCAGGTTTACTTTTTTCACATTAGGTTAAAATTTTTTTAAAAAAACTAGTATCCAATATTGATGAAAGTGTAGGAAATTAGCTCTCCAATAAATCTCTATGAAATAAAATCTAAAAAGTGTGCATATATTATCTTATGGAGTTACTTTCACATTAACATATAAAGTCTTTATGAAAGTTGCAGTTAAAAAAGAAAAAAACCTTTTGTGATACATTTAACCTCTTTCCCAAACTTGTTTGACCACAGGCCCTTTTGCTAATAAGATATATTAGCATCCTGGGGCGCCTGGGTGGCTCAGTAGGTTAAGCAATTGACTTTGGCTCAGGTCATGAACTCAACAGTTGTTTGTGGGTTCGAGCCCCGCATTGGGCTCTGTGCTGACAGCTGTGAGCCTGCAGCCTGCTTCAGATTCTGTGTTTCCCTCTCTCTCTGCCCCTCCCCCACTCATGCTCTGTCTCTCTCTCAAAAAAAATTTTTTAAACTATTTTTAAAAAGATATATTAATGTCCTCCAAAACAATTAAAACATGCCACCTTAGTCAGTGGCTTAGTGAAAGAACGTGGTTCCACAGATCTACCTACCCCAGAACAAGAGTCCTTTTAAAAGGAATAATAAAAACAAACAAGGTACTTGAAAGACAGTGAGAGGTTTTTATATTAAGATTCATGGTCCTGATACAGACTGTGCATGTGTTTCAGCCACATCCCCTTGTATCTAAGCTCAGCATTTACTTTCAAAAACTAACAAGTCAAGAAATGCTGTGCTACAGAGTGAACGGAATTAACTCACATTCAGTCTTCAGCTTCTTTTAAAACCAGTGTTGCTTGTTTTCCACATATGGAAATGATTTGCCTGGGAACATTTTGGATAGGCCTTAATATTTGCTAATTTTATAGGAAATTCATGGAAATATTCTTTTTAATATTTTCTTGTTTCTCACAGTTGTCTGCAATGGTCATGAGAAAAGCTTTGTCCGTGTGCTATCAGCCATATTATGTTAGAATTAGAATCTAAAAATATACTGACTTTTAATAAGAGTTTGTATATAATATCAAAGATTAATTTTTAGGCGACACAAATTTAGAATCATTTGCTCATTCGATCACAGAATAAATTTCCAGAAACTTTATCGATGTGTTTCCATTCCTCCAACAGGGCTCCCCTGGATTCCACTCAGTAGCTCAAAGGTGCTCTTTTCCTCTCCTGTGGATGCTTGGTCTATGTTTGTGTCCCCTCTCCCAAATTCTTATGTTGAAATAACTGATGCAGGAAGGAAGGAAGGAAGGAAAGAAGGAAGGAAGGAGAGAGAGAGAGAGAAGGAAGGAAGGAAGGAAGGAAGGAAGGAAGGAAGGAAGGAAGGAAAGAAAGAAAGAAAGAAAGAAAGAAAGAAAGAAAAGAAAGAGAAAAGAAAGAAAAAATCAGAAAAGAGAGAAAAGAAAAGAAAAGAAAAGAAAAGAAAAGAAAAGAAAAGAAAAGAAAAGAAAAGAAAAGAAAAGAAATCCTAGCGCTTCATGGGATGGTTTTAGGTGCAGGGCCCTTTGGGAGGAGCTTAGCTCATGAAAGTGGAGCCCTCAAGAGTGGGATGGGTGCCTAATGAAAGAGGCTCCAGAGAGCTCCCTTGCCCCTCTCACCACGCAGAAGGTGCGAGCTATGAATCATGGCACCTGACTGGCCCAGGCTCCCCATCTCCCCGTCCAGCCTCCGGAACTGTGGGAAAGACACGGTTTGTGAGCTACCCGGCCCGTGGATTTTGTTAGAGGCAGCTCTGCGCACCACCAGAACGCCCACCCCAGGGCGCCCACCCCAGGGCGCCCACCCCAGGGCGCCCACCCCAAGGCAGAGAGGCTGCCCGCCCGCCCTTCACGGACATCCCGCGGGGGGCTTTCTGGGGATCTGTTCCCCGCAGGCAGCCCCTTGACTTTCACCTTACCAGGGAGGTGCCCCGTGGGGTAAGGAGAGGGTGGCCCAGAGCGGGCCGTGTGTCAGTCTGCGGCTCTAGAAGACGGCCCTGTTTCCTTGGCACCCTCAGTTTGAGGGGGTTGGGTGACTGCTTGATCTGACAATTGTAAAATAAGATGCACTTAACTTACTATTCTCTACTCCCAGTGTGACAGAATCTTTTCCATTTTAAGCGTGATATGCAGTTTGGGGCAGCAGGGGCTCCAGAATCTCTGTTGTGAAGGGAACCAGGCCCGTGACGAGGCTGGGACGGGTGGGTCGGGCGAGATGGAAGGGCTGGGGAATTTATCTAGATTTTTCCCCATGAAAACACACTTATCTGAGGATGGAGATGGAGATCCTAAGGGAGTAAAGATGTCATCAGACTTTTTTTGGGGGGGAGGGGGGCGCCAGTTAGCATTAAGTGGAAACTGCCTTGTCTTCTGCAGGTTTTCTGCAGTGGTGACCTGCGTCGCTTGCTTTTGTGACGTGAAGCCCCGTCTGAGGCTGGTCGGCACCTGTAGCTCTGTTTTGGAGCGTGGTCACTGTGCAGTTCTGCGGACCACAGAGGCGGGGCCGGAACCAGCCGATCCACTGCTTCTCTGGTTCTCAACACCCCTTTTCCTTGCGTTCTCTTATAAAGATGCAGAGAAAAATACAAAAACTTTATCCTGTAAAACCCTGAAAACACTGTCATCCTTTCACATTTGTTTACTCCTGTTGATTTTTAATCCCGGGAGAAGCAAGGGCAAGCAACAGTGTGGTGTGGTCGAAAGGAAGGAGGGAGAAAAGTTGCCCTCTTCTCTCTCTCTTTTTTTTTTTTTAAATAGTTTATTGTCAAGTTAGTTTCCACATAACACCCAGTGCTCATCCCCACAAGTGCCCTCCTCCATGCCCATCCCCCCCTCCCCCCCACATCCATCAGTCCTCAGCTTTTCTCAGCATTCAAGAGTCTCTCATGGTTTGCCTCTCTCCCTTTCCCCCACCATTTCCCCCCTTCTTCTCCCCCTTGGTCCTCCGTCAAGTTCCTCCTAATCCTCCTATACGTGCACACATATGATATTTGTCCTTCTCTGCCTGACTTATTTCACTCAGCATAACACCCTCAAGG